ATTAAATAAAAAATAAATAAAATCATAAAATTTAACAGATAAAAAACTAAATAATAAAATATAAAATGAAATTAATTAAAAATAAACAATTAATTAAATTAAAAATAAACAAAAATGATACAAAATTAAATTAAAAATAACCAAAATATAATAAAATATAAAATAAAAAACAAATCATTTCAAACAGCCTGTTTTGATGAATCAATTAAAAAACTCTGATTCAGTGATTAATTTCAAAATTATGATATCTCTAAAAGTCAACTGCACCTATTTAGAGCAAATACAAAAGGCTGAAAAATATTGATATACATATATTTTGTTATAGTTTTATATATTTTTCTTAAATTATATCACCCAATTAGTCTATTGTTATTATAATTATAAAACAAAATAATTGGGAAATTTGCAAGTTATAAGGCAAATAAGATAAGTGACTAACATGACACAACAGTGACTAGCTGGCCTTTGCCTGCTGCTTAATTCACGGTTTGGGACGTTTCTGTGAGGTTCTTACCCAGAACTTTACGAGGAAGAAAGCGTTAGCCGGTCCTTTCTGAAACAGCTCCTTCAGCCCTCCTTTCTTCTCTGGGAATTTGTCGTAAATTTGCCGTACATCCACGGCCTCGAGGTACGGATCGCTAAACGTGGGGTTGGACTGCCCGATGTGAACAAACAGGTGCTTGTTGACCTGTAAAACCAAAATGCCTGCAAGTATAAGTCCGTTTGATCAATATGAGCATTAGTGATAAATCGGTGAAGGACTCACAGTCTCTGGATCCTGAGGTTGCTCCAGGAAAGCAGAGAACTCCAGCATGCGCAGGTTGGAGCTGGCGATGCTGCGGCCCTGCCAGGACACCGACAGACCCGAAGCGCTTTCATAACCTGAGGAAGCCATCACCACCAATATAGACCTTAATATTGTACGCAGTTCAAATCAGGTGTAGCTTCTAATGGTACAGACCTGCTATAGGAGGAGGACCGGTGGCCTGCATGAGGAAGTTTTGCTGAGAAAAAGGCTTGATGCTGTTTGGAAAAGACATAAATGTGACCCTGGAGCACAAAAGCAGTGTTAAGTCGCTGGGGTATATTTGTAGCAATAGCCAAAAATACATTGTATGGGTCAAAATTATTGATTTTTCTTTTATGCCAAAAATCATTAGGACATTAAGTAAAGATCATGTTCCATGAAGATATTTTGTAAATCTCCTACCGTAAATATATCAAAACTTAATTTTTGATTAGTAATATGCATTGCTAAGAACTTCATTTAGACAACTTTAAAGGCGATTTTCTCAATATTTTGATTTTTTTGCACCCTCAGATTCCAGATTTTCAAATAGTTGTATCTCGGCCAAATATTGTCCT